GATCCCAGGACCCTGGGATCATGACCTGAGCTGAAGGCAGACGACCAACGACTGATCCACCCAGGTGCCCCTAAAGATTTTATTTATTTGTCAGAGAGAGAGCGCGGACATGCAGGGGGAGCGGCAGGCAGAGGGAGAAGCAGGCTCCCCGCTGAGCAGGGAGCCCGATGCGGGGCTCAATCCCCGGACCCTGGGATCATGAGCTGAGCCCAAGGCAGATGCTTCACCGACTGAGCCACCCAGGCGCCCCATCATCGTAACCATATTTAAGTGTACAGCTCAGTAGTGCTAAGTATATTCATGTTGTTGTGAAACACAGCTCCAGAAATTTTTCCTCTTGAAAATGTGAAACTCTGTACCTAGTAAACAAGAAATCCTCTTTCCTCCCTACCCCCTCCCCAACCCTAGGTCACTTGCATTCTACCTTCTGCCTCTATAAATGTGACTGCTCTAGGTACCTCATTTAAGTGGAATCACATAGGGTTTGCTTTTTTTGTGACTGGCTTAACTTCACTTAACATACTATCTTTAAGATTCATCCACATTGTAACATGTGACAGGATTTCCTTCCTTTTTAAGGCTGAAAAATATTTCATTATAGGTACAGACCACATTTTGTTTACCTATTTGTCTGTTGATAAACACTTGTGTTATTTCCGCCCTTTGGCTATCATGAATAATGCTGCCATGAACATGGGTGTGCAAATATCTCTTTGAGTCCCTGCTTTTAATTCTTTGGCGTATATACCCAGAGGCAGGATTGCTGCATCATACAGTAGTTCTAGCTTTAAGTTTTTGAGGAATCACCACAGTGTTTTCCATAGTGGCTGTGCCATGGTGCTTTCCCACCCACAGTGCACGAGGCTTCCGATTTCTCCACATCCTCGCCAGCTTTGTTACTTTCTGTTTTTGATAGTAGACATCCTTGTGTGTTTGAGCATCGTTAGTCATTTCTGAGTAGAGGCATGATGAACCGGAGCTGCCCGTCGGCAGGAAAAAAGTCAAGAGGCAGAAGATGGTCAAGGCTTTGGCAGTGGTCAGACTAAAGAGAGGGACTCCTGTCGAGGTGTGGCGGCAGAAGAAACCAGGGCTACCAAAGAAAAGAAGTAGCCAGACAAAGGGCAGGAGAGGGGATGCCAGAGAGAGGGAGGAGCTAAATGGGACTCAGTTGCAAGCAAAAAGACTGAGAAAATAGCAATACAGTGAGGAAAAGTGGGAAGTTGGGAGAGGGTGCTGCTTTGGGGGAGGTGCCGAGATGTGAGAGGTGCCTGCAGCTGACAGGTTAGTTGCCGATGCAAGACTGGTGTCCCAAAGAGAGTCCAGGGCTAGACCCAATAATGGCATTCATTCATACAGCACTTTTATTTACGTGAGCCCCTCAGTGCTCATGACACCTGGTAAGGTCAGTCCAAGCAGGTGTCATTTCCATCAGCTGAGCGATAAAAAACCAGGAAGTACAAGGGACAAGCCAAGGACACTCTCATGTCAGACAACAATCAGACAAGCTCTGAGTCTGCTTCTGGTCGAGTGGCCTCTTTTCCTGAGCTAAGACTTGCCTAGGAGTGCACGGAGGGCCCGATCAGCGGAAGACACGTTCGCTCATTGGACAAATTTTGAGTGCCAGGTGCTGGAGATTCACTAGTTAATAAAACAGACAGAATAGACACGATCCTGCCATCATGGAGCCTACATTCTTGTAGATGGTGGAACAATCCAGCTGGCCTTTCGGCAGTTTTCTGAGAAGCCCAAAGAATTCCCCAGGAGAAGTGTCCCAAGGCAAATCTGTGTCTTGAAGAGAAAGGTGGTCTGCTCCGTCTGTCACGTTAACTCAAGTTGGACCCACTTGCAGTCTTGACAGACCATACTCAGGACAACAGCAAAGGAGAGCACTACCTAGAATAAGCTCATAAAGTAGTCAGGCACAAAGAGTACTTAGAGTTGACTTTTAGGGAAAACATTTCTTTCTCCCTATTTTCTTTCCCTTTTACTTGAAACCCATCAGCCAGAAGTCTGTCTTCCTCACTAAATACCAATAATCCATGTCTACAAAGGAGGTTTCCAGTATACCCATGTTTATAGCTGCATTATTTATAATAGCCAAAAGGTGGAAAGAACCCAAGTTTCCATCAACACTTAATGGATAAACAAAATGTGGTCTGCAAGTACAATGGAATATTATTCAACTTTACAAAGGAAGGAAGGAAATGCTGTCACATGCCCCAACACAGATGAACCTTGAAGACATCGTGCTAAGTGAAATAAGCCAGGCACAAAACGACACATATTGTATGATTCCACTATGTACGTATGGAGGATTCCGTGTACCCAGAGTCGTCAAAGTCATAGAGACAGAAAGTAGAACAATACTCCCCAGAGTCTGGGGAGGGAAAGGGGAAACGGGAGTTGTTGTAATGGGTACAGAGTTTCAGCTTAAGAGAATGACGAGAGATTCCTGGAGATGGGTGGTGGTGTTCGCTGCACAATATTACGAATGTACTTACTGCCACAGAACCATACCCTTAAAATGGTTAGAATCCGTTTTACCCTGCTGCCAGTAGAATAGTCAGTACATCTTCCCCATCTCGTCCTTGTCATCATCTTTAATCAGAGGGGCTGACTAGACGCTTCTCGGTGTACGATCTAATGTTTCCATGGTAACCACTGTAAGGCAGATAGATGCCTGGCGGGCACGATCTCACCAGCAGATCAACAGGGTTCACCCGACTGGCCTCTCTCCCCTGCGCTCCACTCTGTAAGCTGCTCCACGGAGAGCGAAAAATCGGTGTCACATCGTGTGCCTCTCTGCATCTCGTACCATCTTCAGCCACTCTGGGGCTCGGTTCTTCGAGCATTCCAGTCGATAATTTGCTCCCAGCCAGCCACACAGGCTCTTCTTCCCACTGCAGAACATCTTCTCCTTCTGCTTCTTCACCACTCCCCCACCTTCTTCCTTTACTAGCTCTTCCTCCTCCTCAGAATTCTTCAGGGCTGATGAGATGCCTCTTCCTCCAGGAAGCCTTCTTGTCCTGAATGCCCAGATGATGTTATATCTTCTGTTTCGTGCTCCTGTGGGGAAAAAAAAAAAAAAGCCACAGTGAGAGTGAGAAAAATTAGGCAGCGGGAGAGGGGAGTCATCCCAGATGCCTTTTATTTAGACAAAAACCTGTGAACATAATGGACTTTGGATTCAGAAGCCATCGGACTGGAAACCCTAGATGTCCTGCTCACGAGCTGTGGTACCATAAGCAAGCTACTTAAACTACTCCAAGTCCCTTTCCTCTTATGTAAAGCTGGGATCAAATGTCCTAACTTTCCAGGGTGCCAAAAAGGTGAGGGGGGCGGAGAGTGGCATATCCCAACTGTTCTTGTCTTGGGTCACTCCTCACTGGTTAAACGTCCTCGCCAACTCCCAGATTCCCACCTGCCCAGACTCTACTCCCCCTCCAGCCCACTTCTCAGGTTGCCATTGGAACATCTTTCTAAACTGCACATGTGGGGTGCCTGGGTGGTGCAGTTGGTTAAGCTTCCGACTCTTGATGTAGGCTCAGGTCATGATCTCAGGGTCATGGGATCGAGCCCCACATGGGGCTCTGTGCTCAGCACAGAGTCTGCTTGGGATTCTCTCTCTCTCTCTCTCCCTCTGCCCCTCCTCCTGCTCACTCTAAATAAATAAATAAATAAATAAATAAATCTATCTTTAAAAAAAATAAGCTGCACATGTGACAACCCTCTGCTTGCCTGTAGTTCTTCTCCATTGACTTCAAGAGAAAATCCACATTCATAGTTGGTCCCTGGTTTCTCTCTCTGGTCCTCCTGTCTCACTACTGCCCCATGCCCTGAGTTCCAGCCACACCGAGTTCCAGCCTCAGGCTCTTTTGAGGCCCGTGAGTCTTCCCACACATTTCCTCCTTCTTAGGAAAGACCCTCTCCTATCCCGCATTCTGCCTGACCAGGTAGCTTCTGCAGGGAAGCCTCACCTGACCACCACTACTTGCATGCGCAGCCCCATCTTGCGCCCCTGGGGAAGCCTACGATTTTCCTGCCCCTTACTCATTGCATTTTTTCTGTGCATTAATTTTGTTTTAATTTTGGCTTTAACAACTTTACTAATGTGCAATTGACATGTAATAAGCTGTACATACGCAAGTGTATAACCTGGTAAGTTTTGACCTATGTAAACACCCATGAAAGAATGACCACAATCAAGATAAAGGATTTATCTATGTTCCCCCCAAATTTCCTGGTCCCCCCTGATAATCTCTTCGTCCTGCCCTCCCTGACCTCTCTCTCATTTGCAGGCAACCACTGATTAACTATCACCGTATATTAGTTAACATTTTCTAGAATTTTAGATAAATGTAATCATACAGTATATACTCTCTTTTGCCTGGTTTTGCCCAGCACAATTATTTTGAGATTCATCCATGTAGTACCAATGGTTCATTCTTTTTCTTTTATTGTCGAGTAGTATTCTATTGTATGCATATAACACAGTTTGTTTATCCATGTATCTGTTGATGGACATTTGTATTGTTTCCTGTTTGTATGAACGTATGCTTTCATTTCTCCTAGGTAAATCTGTAGGAGTGCAATGGCTGGATCATGTAACAGGATATATGTCTAACTTTTCTTTTAAAGATTTCATTTATTGGGGCACCTGGGTGGCTCAGTCGTTAGACGTCCGCCTTCGGCTCAGGTCATGATCCTGGGATCCTGGGATCAAGCCCCGTATCAGGCTCCCTGCTCCTCGGGAAGCCTGCTTCTCCTTCTCCCACTCCCCCTGCTTGTGTTCCCTCTCTCACTGTGTCTCTCTCTGTCAAATAAATAAATAAAATCTTAAAAAAAAAGATTTCATTTATTTATTTGACAGAGAGATAGAGAGAGAGCAGAAGTAGGCAGAGTGGCAGGCAGAGGGCGAGGGAGAAGCAGGCTGCCTGCTGAGCAGGGAGCCTGACACAGGACTCAATCCCAGACCCTGGGATCATGACCTGAGCCGAAGGCAGACGCTCAACTGACTGAGCCACCCAGGCACCCCTACGTCTTTTTTTTTTTTAATTTTTTAAAATTTATTTTTATTTATTTTTATTTTTTTTTACTTCTAACTTTTTAAAACAAACTGCCAAACTGTTTTCCAAAGTGGTTGCACCATTTCACATTCTCACCACGAGTGTATGAGAGTTCCATTTGCTCTCCATCCACGTCAACACTGGGTATGGTCAATCTCTTCAATTTTAACCACTTTGGTGTGTCATGTTGTATTATTCTGGTTTTAAGTTATATTTTCCTAATGACTAATGATGTTAAGCCTCTTTTCACATGCTTATCTGTTACCCATACATCTTGGTTACTGATGTGTCTGTTCAAAAAGTTTTTAAAAGAAAACAAATTGTAAAAGCTAAGCCTGTTAGGTAAATTTTTTTCCATGAATTTAATTTCTATGCTTTATTCCACTACCTAAAGTTATCATTTTTTCACACTTGAAAAAATTGTGGTAAAACATACACAACATAAAACTTACATTTTCACTTTTTAACTGTACGGTTCAGTGGTACTAAGTACACAGTCATTATCATGCAATGGTCACCACCACCCATCTTCAGAAATTTTGTCATCATTCCAAATTGAAACTCTGGATCCAGTAAACACCAACTCTCCACTCCTCCCCTCACCCCAGCCCCTGGCAACCACCATTCTACTTTATGTCTCTCTGAATTTGGCCACTCTAGGTACAGTATCTGTTCTTTGGTGACTGGCTTATTTCACTCAGTACAATGTCCTCAAGGTTTGTCCATGTTGCAGGCTGTGTCAGAATTTTCTTCCTTCTTTACAGCTGAATAATATTCTTTTGTATGTATATACATTTTGTTTATCCACTATCCATCAGTGGACACTTGGGTGGCTTCTAGCTTTGGGCTATTGTCAATAATACTGTTACAAACATGGGTGTACAGATATCTGAATCCGTTATTAATTGCATTTTTTATTTTACAGTACATTTTTTTAACCAAGTGCATTTTTTAAAAGATTTTTTTACTTATTTGAGAGAGAGAGGGAGCGAGCGAGTGAGCATGAGTGGGAGGAGGGGCAGAGGGAAAGAATCTTCCAGCAGACTCCCCAGTGGAGCAGGGAGCCCAGCGCAGAGCTCAATTTCATGACCCCTAAGGTCATGACCTGAGCCAAAACCAAGAGTCGGACGCTTAACCAACTGAGCCACTCAGGTGCCCCTAATCGCTTGCATTTTAATGGTTGCATCCCATTGCCTACCACAGGGCCTGACAAATAGCGAGCATTTAATAAATATATGTGAAATTAATAGCCGAATGAATGAGTGAGTGAGTGAGTGAGTGAGTGAGTGAGTGAGTGACTGAGTGAATATATGAGTGATTCCCACACTGGACGCCAGTTCACGCACAGCTACATCATTCGTCCTGTAGGTGTCAGTCACGGCGTCCTAACGTCAGGCTGCTGCGTCTGTGAAGGAACTGATCTCTGAATCCCTTCCAAGAGGTGAAGAAAACACTTTGCCTGATTTGGTTGGTCACCCTCGCCACCACTGTTGCCCCACGGGAGGCCCAGCTGCCTGAAGTCTCTGCGTTGGTCCCAGGCTACTAACTCAGGGGGAGGCCTAGCTGTGGCTACTCCGAGACGAGCTCTCTCCTCTGAGACATCTCGGGAACCACTCACCGCATTCCTTCCTGTGAGATCACAACAATATCAACAGCTCACATATTTGTGTGCTTACTCTGGGTCAGGTGCCCCAGAAGCAGCGTCTCATTTAAAGGATTAATAACCCCGAATTAGGCAACTGTAAGACTCCTCACTTTATAAAACAAACAAAAAGACACAGAGAAGTTTAATGAACTTGCCCATGGTCATGTAGCTGCGAAATGGAAGAGCCAGGATCCGAATCCAGGTGCTCTTCCCCAGAACCTACCAGGCAGAAGGAAAAAAAAACACAACCAACCACTCAGGCTGAAAGCAGTTTTCAATTAGTTATGTTGAAATTAACCAGAGTCATCCTAAAATAATTTTTTTCTAAGTTTGAATAATATTTATTGACTATATTTTGGAAAACACATTAAAAAAACTTTAAGTCACATAAGCCCACCAAAAAAAGATCATCACTCTCAACACATTAACATGTTTCCTCCCAGTGTTTTCTCCTTACTTATGTATTTTAATTCAGATGACATTAATGAGTGTCTCCATTCTCTTGAGAAAGAGGCATTAGTCCTCTCTTGATGCATCTGCCATTCGTACCCGCGCCTCCTGCCTTCTCTCTGTGCGTCTCTAATGTGTCCCTGTCAAATGATGCAGTACAAAATGAAAATGTTAATGTATAGTAACAATGATGGCAGTTGACAGTGAGTGACCACCAAGAGCCAGGCCCTGTGCTGAGGAGGCACCTCACATACGTTATCTCCTGTGGTTCTCACGGCAACCATATTAGGTGGGAGCCATTATTTTTTATTGTTATGTTAATCACCATACATTCCATCATTAGTTTTTGATGCAGTGTTCCATGATTCACTGTTTCCGTATAACACCCAGTGCTCCATGCAGAACGTGCCCTCTTTAATACCCATCACCGGGCTAACCCATCCTCCCACCCCCCTCCCCTCTAGAACCCTCAGTTTGTTTTTCAGAGTCCATCGTCTCTCGTGGTTCGTCTCGGTGGGAGCCATTATTCTTCTCATTTTACTGATGAGGAATCTGAGACTTAACATGTAACATGTGGCTCTTCCTCTTTCCTTCCTTTCCTGAAGAACTCAGTCCTAACACCACTGTGTCCACACACGGGGTGGTAAGGGGTCGAGACTGGGGTGTCAGAGCCCCCACCTTACCCCAAGCAGTTGAAGAACATGTCTGCATGTCTGCATGAAGGTAAAAGGGCTTCTTGGTATAGGGGGGGACTCAGTGTGGGGTATGAGGCCCTGAACAGGGTGAAGAGAGCCAACGGTGGTGTGGGAGGGTGCCCCTGTGGGGGGGGGGCGGGCGGGTGTGGCAGAACCTGAGCAGATGGAAGATGGAGTCCTCATGGGCAGCATGGGGTATGAGATCCTGAGCAGGGTGAGGGAGGGGACTGCGAGTGGGAGTGGGGTGCTGGAGCCCAAGCTGGGGGAGGACGGCATCCTCATGGGGGAGGGATACAGTGACAATGGGAGACTGATTACGGGGAGGGGAGCAATCAATAGGCAGTCATATGACACAGAACGTAAGCCAGATGTGCCTCTGTTGAAGAGACACAACTAAGTAAAGGGAGGGAACTGGAATGAATCCTGTGGTGCTAGACGGACATGGAGCTCTTGGTGTGAGGTCACTGTGTTCAACAGTCCAGCAGACATAGAAATAAATACATACGTATAGATAGAAATATATGAATGTATCTTCACGGATCTCCCTAGCTCTGTCCACTGAGAGGGCCTGGAAGCCACAGCACCCCAACTGTAACAAGCACACCCTAACCTTGGTTTCTGAGTTCGTTCTCTGCTATAAGGAACCAGTGCTACTGGGACAAATGGCCAAGAGAGGACTAGAATATTCGTTTGCTATTCGTATAAGGACGTGCTCAAAGATGGACAGAGACATCTCAAAAGGGCATAGGAACCAGCTCAGAGAGGCTTCCACTGGCCCAGCAGAGGACAATTTGAATATTAAAATAAAAAAACCCAAACTGTAGTAATGGACTACAGCCTATTGAACAACACAGGAACCCATGATTCCATACTCATGTAAATAAATACATGAAATGAAGTCTCACGAAGAACAGGTTTCAAAGGACCTCCCCACAAAATAAGTAATAATTGCAATAGAAAAAGAAACTTGACAGTGGAGAGAAGTTGGCAGGCACCATCTTAATCAAATGGCAAAAGCAATCATTCCAGTTACGGTTAAAATTGAAATCAGGAGCAGCCTGAGAGGTCAAAGTGAAAACACACAGTCACTTGTACGATGTTCCTGCCAAGGATCCATGGCCTGAATCCAATGAAGAGGAAACACTAGACAAACCCAAACTGAGGACATTCCACAAGACAACTGACATGTAATCCACACACGTTTTAAGCTTCTGCAGGTCCAGGCTGAAAAGCAGTTCCACGTAGAGTCAAATGCAACGTGTGACCCCGGGTTAGATCCTTTGCTATAAACAACATTACTGGCACAAAGGATAACTCTCCAGCCTAAAGATTGGACGGTAATAAGGTATTAATGTTAATTTCCTGACTTTGATGGCTGTGTCCCACACAAGTGGAAGGTTTTTATTTGTGGGAAGGACATGCCAAGGCATGGGGCATGATGCAGCACAGCAACTTATTCTCAAAGGCTCAGCGGAGAAAAAAATGAATTTTTGTTTAACTTGCAACATTTCTGTAGGATTTTTTTTTTCTTTTTAAGATGAATTAATATATCCAAGGTCACCTAACTAGATAGAGGCAGGATTCAAATCCAGGTCTAGAAACCAAGTTCTCCAGGGGCGCGTGGGTGGCTCAGTCGTTAAGTGTCTGCCTTCGGCTCAGGTCATGATCCCGGGGTCCTGGGATCGAGTCCCGCATCGGGCTCCTTGCTCAGAGGGAAGCCTGCTTCTCCCTCTCCCACTCCCCCTGCTTGTGTTCCCTCTCACTGTCTCTCTTTGTCAAATAAATAAATAATCTTAAAAAAAAAAAAAGAAACCAAGTTCTTCAGCTCTAAATTGTTCATTCACTCCTCTGTAAGACAGTTCCTTCTGGCGTGGGGAGGTGGCCTGGGGGTGGGAGCCCCATTCAGCTGGCTCTTGTGTCTTTTGAAATGTCCCCATCGATCTTTGAGCACTTCCTTATAATAACAGAATATTGGGGCGCCTGGGTGGCTCAGTCGGTTAAGCCTTCAGCTCAGGTCATGATCCCAGAGTCCTGGGATCAAGCCCTGCATTAGGCTCAGTGGGGAGTCTGCTTATCCCTCTCTCTCTGCCTCTCCCCACCACTCACGCTGGTGCGCACTCTCTCTCTCTCTCAAATAAAATCTAAAAAAAATAATAATAGAATATTATAGGCCCCTTTTGTCCTCTCTCGCTCCGGCCACTTGCCCTAGGAGCAGTGGTTCCTCTCGGCAGAGGTGGGGGAAGGCGCCGCTCATCACAAACTCTAGAGCAACAACAGAAGCGACCCCTGGATGTCACATACTCAACAGTGCCCCCGTGTATTCGTTTCTAGGCCCAGCTTTCTCGTTTGCCTTCAGCGCCCAGCGCTGGCCTGGATACTAAATGTGAAAGCCATAGTACTCTCCGTGTGGTGGCCCGTGTGTAGCATGCAACATAGTAGAAGCAAGAGCGGAAGGGCCACGTGTACACGGCCTGTACGGCCCGCCGTGGAACAGGAACAGGGCCAGGCCCTTTCCCCCTTGATTGGCCTGCCCCAGGCGCCACTCAGCCCAGGGCCCTGCGCGCTGCAGGCGGTCAACGTCGGCACAGGTGTTTCCAACTGGTGAACCTTCTAAACTTCTCACAGTCCACTCAGTCGCTGAGACTGATGGCATTATTTCCTTTGCTTCTTGAGCCAGGGAGAGCACACTTCTTGGCACTCGGCAGTATTTATTCGAGAGAGATCGAGCATGAGTGGGGGTTGGGGCAGAGGGAGAGGGAGAAGCAGACCCCTGCTGAGCAGGGAGCCCGACGCGGGGCTCGATCCCAGGACCCCGGGATCATGACCTGAGCTGAAGGCAGATGCTTCACCGACTGAGTCACCCAGGCGCCCCGGCCCTTGGCGGTATCACAGCTTCCTGGGCTGCTCCAGATCTTACTCCAGAGGTAGCTGAGCTGCGTCTGGGCCCCTAGAAGGATCTGGCCTCTTCCCACCTGAGGGCTAAGGCCAGACGGGCCCAGGCCCAGAAGGCTGCAGACACAGGGAAGGACCAATGATGCGGGGGCCCTGCAATGACAACGAGGGGTCGCGCCTGCTCAGAAGGGCCCTCTCCACCACCGAGAGGGCTTGGAAGCACACAGCTGCACCTAACAACTTCACTTTCTGATGCTCAGTAAGCATCAGATGAGATGAGAGACAATGGGTTTTTTCCATCCTGAAAAGCCTCGAGCAACCATTTAAACACATAGCTCTTCTGGATTTTCTATTAGAGGGAAATTCTTAACATCCACGAAGACACTTGTTGAACCTGTGCCCCTTGTGGGTGGAAAGCCGGAAGGTAAACTCGACTGTCTGAAAGAAAGTGGTCCTAGTCTGACACAGAGACCACAGGACAGCACCCACCAGTTGCTCACTTTTCCTCTGGAACACGTGGGCACCAGACCGCTCCAGGTGGGCATCGGCAGCCCCTCTCTCAGCTCTCTGCCTTTCCTCATCCCCTGTGGAGCCTCCCTCTCCCCACACAATCCAGCCAGAATCACGAGGCTCCGGCTCAGGCGGCACTGGAGGGGATGCGGGTCTGGTGAGCTAAGAGGGCAGGAGTGCAGGGGGGTGTCATGTCCGGGGAAACAGGCCCTCCCGGGCTGTGGCACAGGACATTTCTAAAAGACCTGCCCCTCTTGATGAGGTAGTATGGTTTTAGAAACAGCCACAACCATCCCTCCCACCCCGCATGCCTTTTTGCAGTGTAACTCTCGCCACTCCTCCTATCAAGAGATGGGGTCCACGTCCCTCCCAGAGTCCTGGCTGGCCCTGTGATTTTTTTAGTCAATAGAATGCAGAAGTGACACCGAGTGACTCCAAGGCCTTGGCAAGAAAGGCCTCTCAGAACCAAGCAGCCATGCGGTTAAGAATTGGCCTGGCCACGGAAAGGATGAGGGGCTCCATGGAGAACTGAGGCGCGCCCGCTGAGGGCCAGCACTGACTGCAGCCTCGTGAGGGAAGCCATCTTGGTCCCAAGCCGATGGGCTCCCCTCCAACTGCAGCCAGCCAAGCAACCCCAGGCAAGAATGGGCAGCAAAAGCGCCTGCCTGAGCCCAGCCTGGCTGGCAGGTTCATGAGCAAACAAACGGTTGGTTTTAAGTCACTAAGTTTTGAGAGTAGGAGGTTGTTACACTGGAAAAATAATGAAAACGCTGCCAAAGCTGAGTGCTTTTCCTAGCAAGGCCCTGGCGTGTTCGTGTACCCCTTTCCTCCATCTTACCAAGAACCTGCCTCAGCTTCCTAGCTGCGCATGGCCCAGAGCCCCAGGACGGGGAGAAGGAAATGAATACAACCTACCAGTTATACCAGGAAGTATTTAGTGAGAGCCTGAAACACATTCAGCATCACTTTCGGTGCCGCAGGAATACGAAGACATATCTGGGAGCCACTCTGCCACCAGTAAACCTACACTCCAGATGAAAAATTAAAATTCATAAACACAAAACAATGGCAGGCACCTCACAATCGCATATAAGTGTGTGAAGGGCCTCTGAATATCAGTTCCCAGAGCCAGGCTGGAGCCATCAGGGAAGGACAGAAGATGGTGGAGCTGGCCCTAGCCCTTGAGGATGGGAAGGACTGACCGAGACGGGAGAGAATATTCTGGGTGTGTATATGAGGGTGTTTAATTATAGGTAAAAAAAATATAAATGAGCTTGCTGAGGAGAGGGATAGCATAATGCTGAGAGGACAAAGGGGCAGGAAGACAACAGCCAGGCCAGAATGAAGAGGGGTCTCACCAGCCAATGCTGTCGCTAGGGCTCACTGGGATGTTTCAGTGACATTTAAAAGCTGACATCAGCAAAGCCCGCTCGGCATGGCATTCTGTAAAGCCCTAAGGAAGAGCTCCAAGAATGAGCCTTTTGTCAGAGCAGGGCCCACCTGGAGAAGGAAACGAGGCAGGGGCCAGGTTCCGGAGGGTTCGGGGAACTGCTGTCCTCAGGCAGGAAGAAGGTGCGCACCTGTTTGCATTTAACGTGGCTCAGCCCTGACTATGCCATCGATCAAACTACTTCCTAAATCAGAGTCCACATTTGTTACAAAGGGAAGCTTCCCCTGTCCTGGCCAGCATCCAGGCATTCACACAGCCATGCTCTGCCCCTGGGAAGAGGACACTGGGAACCCCAGTGTCATGATGTCTCTCTCCACCAAATCTGCTACACCTCTAGCCTTCCTCCTCCCCTCCCTTTGAGGGGGGGAGGGTTGTACCACCGTCCCCACCAGGCTTCTCCTGGCTCCTCCGTGTTGCCTCAGCCACGCCAGGGCCCTGAACTCACTGGAAGGCTGCACCCACACCATCCCTCAAAAATGACAGTCCCATCCACCAACCATCTTAAGGTGGGAGGAGCCATTTAAGACTGTTCCTACCCTAAGGGAAGCTATATGGCCAGTATCCTTGCTCCTAATTTATAGGTGGTGATACTGAGTCATGGAAATGATTTACCAGGGCATTCTCAACACTCCAGTGACTCATCAGGGTCAAAATCCCACATAGCCCAACCCACAAGTTGTGTGACTTCGGGCACGTATCTCCTCCACTCTGTGCTCTATCACCAACAGCGCGGCCTCGCTGGTGCCTGAGGTTTTGCCCAGGGCTCTGCTGCCGCAGTACCAGGGTCCCACCTCTCAGACCCTGTTAGAGCTCTCCCATTAAAGCTAGAACCCCAAACCCAACACAGAGCTGCAAATCAAGGAATTCTGGCTGACGATAACCTGGGTGGTTGCATGTACCTTTGAGAGAGGGAATGTCATCAAATGTGTGTCTTTGTGTGTGTGTCCACGCTGATGCGGTCGGTTCAGTAAGTTCCCCCTGTTGTGATGTGTAAGAATTCTTAAAAAGAATAAACAAGTTGAGACCCTGGCCTTAATGCAGACCCAGTCTGTAAGGGGATGTGCATTCCAGAAACAGATGGCCAGCTAGGCCAGGCACCTATTCTGGAGGACTCTTAGCGATTCTGTTGGACTCTGGCTCTTAGCTGTGTTCCCAGGGTCCACAGAAGCCTCACAAGCTGCCTTCCTTCTTCTTCCAGAAGGGAAAGGGCTAAGTTTATTAAGCTATGCGATGCTGGGAAAGGCACAACAATTTCATGTGCATGTCTTACAAATCCTCCCAACAGCGAGCTCTTGTCCCACCTACTCACGAGGACACCGAGGACACCATGGCTCACAAAGGCTACCTTTGCCAGGTCACACTGCCGAGTGTGGGGGCGTCACCTTACACCAGGCAGGCTCTGCAGGGCACTGGACTGACCTGGAACCTCCGGCTTCCCTCCCACTCCTCCAGTCCTTGACCCCAGCAAGCCATGTTCCTGCCTCCATCACATCTCTCCCTCAGCCTGGGGCACCCACCTCTCCACAAGCCAGATCGCCCCCAAGGCCCACGCCTCCTCCGCCCTGGAGCTTACACATCTCATGATCAGACCCCCTTCAATGACCCCTTATAGCTGCCCCTCTCTCGGGGTCCTCCTGGTTGCCTGTAATCCAGTCCCCATCCCACTCACCCGCACCGCACCAGGCACACAGTAGATCCCGCTAGGGGTCGCTGAGTGCCCCCCACGCCTCCGCCCGGCCAGCAAGCACCAAGGGACACGACCCCGACGTCCCTCCCCACCTCGGGCGCAGGGTCCAGCCCCCGAGGAAGGGAAGGGCGGCGGCTGGAGAACAGCCTGGGAAGCACTGAAATGCCCAGAAACGTGCTGTGACCGGAAACCTCCTGGGCGTGGCGACAGTGCGAGAGCCAAGGCTCAGCGGGCGCGGGTACGCCCGTCGCGGGCCCTAGGCGGCCCTGGACCGACCCCTCCCGCGCCGTCGGCCCCGTCCCTTCCCCTGATGGACCAGCAATGATTCTCCAGGGCCACTGTCTTCCGCGGTAAGGGGGACGCGGCCATGGGGCCTGAGACCAGGGCTCCGCCCGGCGGCACAAAAACCGCTCTCGCCCTCGCCCCCCCACCTCCCTCCCC